TGCCAGAGAACCGCTTTGCTTCTACCAGAGTTGCTCCCAGAGTTGCTCACCAGAGAAGCCATCAGAAACCGGTCATCAGAAAGATACCAGAGTTGGCAACAGAGGCGGACTTCAGAGATTGGACCAGAGAGCCTCTTAAGACTCTGCTAAACACACCAGATTCCGGAAGCCTTTCCAACGGTCGTTAAACTAACGGGAAATCCCCTAACGGTTACGAACCTTTCAACGGAAACATGGTACTGTACACGCATTAAATGCACATTTAATGCTGTACGTACGAAGAGATATTTAAAGCTGATGATTGACCATGCGAGTATCTTTACGCCCCCAAAATAGCAAGTCGAAGGTCCAACCGGTCAAGTCAACAGTACATGCATTTAATGAAGCTGTCTTCTACACTCCAACGGGAAGACTGCTCCCAGTATATAAGATACACTCTGAAGAACTAAGAGGATAACTTTGCGTAAAACAACTTTGCTATACCATCTGAAAAACGAACTTGCTCAAAGCCTTCTTGAGATTCAAACTTCATCCTTAACAAGAAAAGGCTACGGTTGGAAGATACATTTTCTAATCCCTTATCCAACTAGCAAAGCTGCAAAGTTACTCAGTTCTTCAACACTTCGAAAGCCTCATCTACTCATCCTTTGTGAAGAAGCAACGTTGGAGAAAAATGATTTTATATCAAACACTTCTTGAAAAAGAAGGGACGTCTCAAAGTAGCTGGAGTAAGTGAAGTGGGGATACTTCAAGAGACTCAGTGAAACGAGACCAGCCATCAGGAAGCAGGACTGCATCCCGGGTGGCAACTAGACTTGAAGAAGACGAGGAGTGCTTCTTAAGTTCTAGGGACTAAAGCGTTGTAAACAGTTGTTTTTGCAAGCTTAGTGGAACAGTGGACTAGAGGAACAAGTTGTTCCTTGAACTATTATAAAAACCCCGGTGTCATTTACTTTAAGCTTTTAATTCCTGCACTTAAGATTCTACTGACTAACTCTTAAGGTTGGACTCTGTGTCCAGCAGATCTTCCTTCAGAGTTATCAGAAAGGCATTTTGCCTTAGCATTCTTCTGGAGGCTACCCGGACAGAAACTTATCCGCTGCCTGGTCTAGTTCTGCCATCAGAACTTGACCATCTCTGTCACCAGATTTCGACCATCTCTGATAAGTCAGACTTGACTTAGAGAAAAGTTTAAATTCCTGAACAGTCTATTCACCCCCCCCCTCTAGACTGTTTCCATTACAAACGGGACCAACAGCAGCCAGCCTGAGGCGCAGCGTGACCGGTTGTTGTTCGTCGGCAGTGGTCAAATGGAAACTAGTGCCACTTTCACGCTACTCGCCTCCCGCCACGGTCCGGCCGAATACAGCTCAAGCTGCAACAAACGAGAGGGCCCCACCGGAGATGGCCATGACCGAAGCGACCCTGCCTATTCTTCAGCGGCAACAATGGCCATGGAGAAGCGGGAGGCAGCCATGAACGAGTTTGAATTTTCAGCGGCAGAGACGACATACTATAGTCAGGTCCTTGTCGATGCAGCCCAGATCCAAAAGCCCCCACTCTCAAACGGTGGTTCCCGGCGAGTTATCCCGCGACCGGCAGATCTTGCTATCTCCGTACGTGGCACTTTGGTTAAAGTTTTTCAAAGGCAACACAAGAAGGAAGGCCGTCAATGGCTAATGGCAGAATCAATAGGATATTGGGTCAGACCCCACTCTCAAACGTACTGCTTGCTTTGGGGAGGGTTTGTTTCATCTGCCTCTTCAAAAGATGCTCTTTGTTTGGTTGAGAGCCAACCACATACGAAGGATCCAAATTAATGGAGAACCTCGCATTATTTGGGAAGTCAACCGTTGCAAATTAATATGGGTCAGGCAGCACTAATCAATAACATGATTTTTCACAAATTAGAATGAGCCCAAGGGGATTGCTGGATGCTATCCATTTTTGTGAAGCCCACCAAAATATTTCAGCCCATCAAAAGATAAGTGCTCTTTTAATTTTCATGTTATTTATATTTATTTAAATCATCTTTTTTGTCGGGTGAATGTCACACTATCGCACAATTATGATCAAATGCCTAGTAGACTGTGACTTGAGACCCATCACTGGGATTTAAAGCCCTGACCAAGTCAGGCACAAAGCCCCGACCAAGTCAGGCATGAAGACCGGTCTTAGTCATTCCAAGAATGGCGACCGTTGCGTACGAATGGCTCACACATCCACTCTACTAAGTATTTTTATCATTACATTGGCAATCCACGTTTCCACTATTTTCAAGTAAAGAACTCCCGATCGGAAACATAAATCCTAAGAAAAAGATTTTATATGTATGATAAATGTGTAGGTACAAAGATGACTTTACTCATTTTCACCTTGTCTCCACTCGCCTCAAAGAGTGGGGACTGGGGGACTGAGGGGTCAGAGTTTCTGGATGAGGAGAACATATCACCCATGAGCAGGAACGAAAGATGGGACAGATGAAGACGGGTTGAGCTAGACAAAAGTGATTATGCCGCAGAGGGCCTACCTTCCTTGTTTCATGTTGGGGGCGCTAGGTGTACTCTTTTTCCCTTTATTAAGATTTTTTCCCAATGGGTTTTTTCCTAGTAAAGGTTTTAAACGAGGCACCTCCCCATCATGGACAAGGGTGGTGGTCCCCCCGGCCGGAGAGGAAGAAATCAAAGACAGAAGAACGTTGCAGATACAGTTTCGACTACTCCCTTTCGCCTCGAGTACTCTCGACTCAGGCAGTGGGGACTCTTGATGGAGTATATGGACTCCGACCCCCCGGTCTGCCGACTAGTGGGCCTAGACAGCGGCCCATACACGTTTAGCGGATATCATTCATATTATTGTACATTATTATTATTATTCAGATGTTCTAGATTAGTTTTTTGTACTATCAGCCCATTTATGTAACCGGGTCTGTCAGGCCCATATTAGAGGCCCAGACCTGGATTTTCCCTATATATACTCCTTATAGGAGGCTATTGAACCATAAGTCACAAACTCATAACTCATTCTATACACATTTATCTCCTTCTCTACTACACTCTTGTTCAAATCTCTTCAGTTATAGGATATGGGTATCAATTATCTAACAGATGTATATGTTACCTTGGGAATTTGGGAAAGGTCACATGAAGTCGATACCCCATGCATCGAAAATCTCACAGAAAAGCATGGGGTTTTGTGGCATCTCGTTCCTCCTGGAAATGTTGCCCGCTCTTTGGCAATTGTCACAAGATTGACAAAAGCCGTGTGCATCCCGAAATAGACTCGGCCACCAAAAACCGCTTTCAAGTATCTTCATTGTTGTTCGTTTCGGACCGAAATGTCCTCCACAAGCATAAGAGTGACAAAACTCTATGATGTGGGCTATCTCATATTCAGGAATGCATCTTCGGATTATTTGATCCTTACAATGCTTCCACAAATATGGGTCATCCCACACATAGAGTCTTGAATTCATTCATAATTTTTCTTTTTGAGATTTTGAGAGTTGTGGAGGAAATTTGCCGGAAACGAGGAAGTTCACGATATTTGCGTACCATGGTTGTGTGGCTTTGATGGAGAAAAGAGTTTCGTCCGGGAATTCTCCTTTGATGAGATTTGTGTGGAGGTCTTCGATGTCTTTGTGAGGAATGAGGCGGCTTAAATGATCAGCCACCAAGTTCTCCGCTCCTTTCTTGTCTTACGATTGCCAGCGCCAACCAGTTGAGGTGACCCCTCGGCCAATGGATGCTTGACATGTGTCCCTATCTGGCATTTATTGCTACTATAAATAGCACCCCATTTCCCCATGTGTAACCTAGAAGCAAAATACGCTGATCACACATCTAATATATTCTCTCTCTTACTTACTTGCTCTGACTTCTCTCTAGTTATTCTCCGCAATAACCTCTCGGATAAGCTACCCCCGGATACACTATCCATCAGTTTAGTTACTTATATGGTTATGTGTTATTTTATTTACAATGTTTTTAAAATTTTTTGACATCACTGATACTCCATTTGTATGATGGCTCCCCTGTTTTAGGCTGTCCTAACTCCATTTGAGAGGGTGGTTCGCTATTCATAGCATTTAATTTACCGCTCTTTTCATTGCGGTAAGTGTATTGGTGAGTGGAATTTGTGAAGGGAAAATTCCTTTTGTACACGTCAAGTTTTACATGCCGGGTTACATGTCTGTCAAATTGTTTGTGTACAGACTATTTGATCGACTACACAGACTTATTGAGCGGCGAATTACGAAGAAAATCGATTTTTCACAAAGACAAAAATAAAATAAAAATGTCTGTATCACAGAAACTTTATGAAAAATTCAGGTTTAAAATGTCTGTGATATAGACAACTCTTGATATTTTGTCTGTATGAAAATCGATTTTCTTCATAAAATGCTGGTCAAATTGTCCGTCTAGCCGATCAAATTGTTTGTATACAGACAATTTGACCGGCATATAACCCGGCGTGTACACGAAGCGGGACTCTTGTCTAAGTGTGAGTGACTAGTGCTTCGATCTCTTTATTTGCACTATTTAATTTTTCTTTTGGGGATCTTTTTTAAAATGAAAACTTTTGATCTCACTCATACATTTTATTTAATCATTGGTTGGAACATAGATGGAGTCTTTTTATAATTATTCAAAATCCAGACATGATCTTTTTTGTGATTCTTGTAAAGTTATTACAAAAATTTCACCTTCACAATTCTAACCATTAATTTTGAAATGTAAGATAGAGATTAAAAATTCTGGTTAGTAAATGAGCTCTTATTCTAAAGAGATTGTCAGTTAAGCCATCCACTTATATTGTGAATAGAGATAACTCTCCTTAATTTGCAAACTATAAACTAATCTTGGTCATGCGATTAGTTAGTCTAAAAACTATAACTATAAGGGCACATTGACATTTTTGTAATAAAAGACAATTTTGTGATATTTTTGTAATAAAAGCCAATTTTGTGACATTTTTAACCAATTCAGCCAGAGTAGAACCTGGAACAACTGAATCCGTATTGCAAGGACCAATGATTCTCGGATGAGACATCGGAGCAATTCCGAGAGATCCGACAAAAGTTGGCCCGACAAAAATGGAAGACGTTCGAATGGTGAACTGGCACAACCGCTGCAGAGGATGGAGACCTGGGGGCTGCGGGTGTGGGTAGAGCACTGGCTGCGATGGAGTCCATGTGAAACCGGCGGGTCCCAAGCAGCGGCATCCGACAACATGAAGATGGCAGACCGTGGCTGTAACAATGGAGGAGCGGCACTCGAAGTCCTGGTAGCGAAGAAGGCTGGCAAAGAGGAGAAGGTGGAGGTGCCCTGGTTCGATGTTGTCGTAGAATTAAAGAGGTGGTGCAGCCATGGTGGAGACCGGTGCAGACGTCGCAGCCATGGTGGAGACCGGTGCAGACGTCGCAACCATGGTGGAGACCGGTGCAGACGTTGTGGCAGTAGTAGATGTCTCGGCGGGAGAAAAAAAAATAGTGTAAGATGATTCTGACTTTTGATATCACGTGAGAATGATTACGAGATGCAACCATATTGGTAGCCCTGACATTTATTTATAATAAACAAGAGTCATAATTAAAACAGGAGTCCCAAAATAACAAATAATTATAAGTTACTTTATTACGTTAATAAGCAGCTGATATTTTATGATTGAATAATATGCAACACTTTGAATCTCAATTTGCAATACAAATAACGTAAAGATACATCGTATACACGTTTGCACAATAAGCACAATTTGTACCTGATTCGCCACTGTATTATTGTCCCATATATGATGTAAATGTAGTAGACGAAGTACTTGTGTATAAATAATAGAATACACTATACAGCTAGCCAATTAATATAATTGCATTTAAAATGCAAACTAATTCTCTTGGCGTATATTCTTCAATGCATTCTCTTGATTTGCTTGGCTCCTATTATCCTGTGTGCTGGAAGATGTATCTCTAGGCCATCAATATAAACCTCACATTTCGATCTCTCCTGGCCACTCACAGCTACTCTGCAATATGTGGGGTTCCCATCGATTTATGTTACCATTTAATTATCTGATCTGTTGGATGAAGGATTGCTGTCAATCAGATTGAAGAGAATACACAACTGGAGGTGAATACATGGTTCTCTCTTAATTATTTAATTATGTTAGGGTACGTTCATCTATTGGAGACAATCAGACAAGATCTATTGACCATAAATAATTTGTATTGGGCGCATTTAATTTAGTGGATACTAAGACCAGCCACAGAGCCAATATAATGTACTTTAGGGTGATACAAATCTAGCAATTCCAAGATCATATTACAGAGTATACTTTAGTGGAATCATTCATATGGTATATCATGTAAAAGTGAGTTTTTTTTTATAGTAAAAAATCGATAACAAGTAATTGATATAAAAGAATTTATGAATTTATAATAAATACACAAGTACTTCGTCTACTCATTTTTTATGTAAAAGTGAGTTTTATTTATAGTAAAAGAATTTATTAAATTGATATATTTAATAGGCTCAAAATCGATAACAAGTACGTGTTATTTAGCTTTTGCTATAGTACATCTAATGCTCTATAAAAATGAGACACAAAGACCATGTTTACTAATAGAGATTTTCCGTTTTTTCCCCTATTTTTTCAGTCTCCAATTTGTGGTTTAATTTTTCAGTTTTTCTATCTTCAACTTTCTGTTTTCATTTCTAGTTTTATATTTTCAAAAATGAAAACATTTTCATCAAAAAAATTCACCCAGTTATGTAACCGGATGGAAGACCGAAAGTACGGTCTCGGTCGGGAGTCGGGACCGAACCTAGTACAAGCCAAGTAGGGTACCCGGTCCCGAGTATAGAAAAGTTGGGACCGAAAATAGTCGATCCCGGTTGGCTCCAACGACTAGTTTGACAAATTCTTTTCTCTTTTCCCTATTGTTTGGCAACCCAACGGTTCTTTTGAAATTCTTTACTTTGAAAAAATGATATAAAAAAACGAGAACAGAACTGTCGAATCATTAACCAGATTGGACAAGGATCGCCGGGTTGTTGACATTTGAGATATTGTATTGATCTAAATTGGGAAAAAAATATCAAGAGTTAGCTAGCACCTAAGACAGTTGGTGTATCATGGTGTTTCTAGCATATTGGAAGTAGCTATTGGAGGGAATAAGTACGCAATGTGGTGCTTGAAAGCCAGTAAAATATCTTATAATGATTTTAATAATAGTTGCCTCAAAAACTGTGGATATGAAGTACGGAGTAATTTATAGTTCTTGTTATTTAAGAATTCACCCTACTCTCGACGTACCTAAACTCTACACAAATACTATATTCGTCCTGTTCGAATGTTCTCATATCAAATTGGCACGATTATTAAATAAAGTAATTCGAGTAGCTACCTTCCAATTGAAAACGGCTTCCATACTATTAAAGTTAACATCACACCAACAAAAAATCAAGTATACGTACAGAGATAGTGACTTTCAGCTAGGTGACAATCATGATACGGTAGATTACAAAAACAAATATTTCTCAATGCAAACCAGATAAGAATATCATGTCACATATTTCTAGCTCTAATTTAAGATATGAATCTTTAATATTAGACTTAGAAATCATCACTGTTACTAAGCTAGCGATTTTTGACAATTCCTTCATTTCCAGCAAGCATCAAATACTTGTCTCTTCTAGTAAAAGTGGTGCGCTCAAACCCTAATGCTTCAGCCAACTGTTTTTGGATGTGGTTAGCTACCTCATAGCTAGACTTCCCTCCAGCACAAGTCAGTTCTTTGGGCACCTTCCCAAGGATATGGACCTTATAAGATGGCCTAGGGTTCATGAAGAAGAAGATAGGGTCCAAACACTTCAGCCCTCCAGCTGTAGTCCCATAAAACATGTCAACACTTGCGTCCATTGCCACAGGGACTATCTCATCTGCCAGCTCAGCAAACAGGGCACTGAACCTCAAAAGGTAGGGCTCCCTACATGTAGTCCCTTCAGGGCAGACCACCAAGTCACCAAGACTTAGCTCCCTCTGCATGGTTTGGGCATCTTGAACTTTGTCCCTTGTCAATCTCACTGTTCTTATAGGAGCAATCACTTCTGACATTCTGCTTAGGCTGTATGTGACAGCAGTCAAGCTCTTGTTTAGGACTGTGCTCAGAAAGATTGGGTCTAAGAGGGTCCTGTGGGTGCAAACATAGAGGACACCTTTCCCATTTTGTGTTCTTGGTGGGTCTGATCCTATTAGTGTTATCTTCACCCCACTCAAGCAGGCCAAGAAGAGTGCTACCTTGTGTGGTAAGAAGATTCCAATGCATATTCTGAAGATTGCTAAAAAGATTCCAATTGGAAGCCAGATGAACATGGCTAGGGTTGCTTGGGGTGTGGGCAAGAATGCAAGCCTTCCATCATGGAACACAAGGGGCTTTGGGTACTTTTCTCTTGGCATCACTGAGCTTGACATTGTTGAAGAGGTATTCATCTTGCTGTTATCTTCTCTGCTATTCACCATATAAGCCTCCTGATGATACAATTAATAACCAATGTCAAAATTTATGTTTATTCACAAATACACACAAAGTAAAATTTCGAAATATGTTTTTTTTATCATTTTCTTGTCATACACAATGAACATCAAATTCAAAGCATTGTAACTAAAGAATGAATGTATCCCTGCACTCGAATATGTACTACTACGCGAATACATAAGATCTTGAGTTACTCGTATTATTTGTTAGTGTAGCATGCAACCCGAAATCTTAGCATAAGGAAATAAAATAAAGATGTGTGCTGCGCAAGAGAGCAAGGAAGTCTTACAATGAGACAATAATGCAAAAATAATTTTGATCCCTTTTTCCCTAAATAATCTTCTTATATATTTTTTAAAAAAATCAAGCTATGGAGCTGAAGTTATTTATCTTTTTAAAAGAAATACAAATACACAACTTTAATTTTTTAAACAGGTCAAAAGAAATTAGGCAATTTATCATGGGGGGTGGGAGTAACTATTTTATTAGAACATTGCAAACTTGCAAAGTACTTCCCTCGTTCTTTTTTAATTGCAACAATCCACTTTTCACGTTTATCAACGTACAAGTTTGACAATTAGTATCTTTCATTCTTTATTAGTAAATAAAACTAAAAAAATCAGATTTTGAAAATGTAAAGTGAATAAAGAAAATATATTCAAAGTAGAACATGTGAATAGTGCAAACTCGTTCTCATTTTATCCTGTCCCAATTTTATCCTGTCCCACAAGAAACCACCCCATCTCATTTTCGGTATGTTTCACGTTTGGATATCATATTGTCGGTCAACTGCCGGACCTACTTTGGATGGTTTTATGTCCGGTCGTTCATTAGGCTTACTTACCAACTCGTTCTCTTTGGCAATATTTATTCTCCCTCACCATCTATAATCAAGTTCATGTTTTAACCATTTTAATAAAAGTTTATTAATTTTCACCATTAATTATTCAAAAATAATATTCCTTTACAACACACAAAAAATTGAGTAATTTTTTTAACATAAATAAATGATATTTTAATTTATTATAGATTTTATTAATACATCTCCCAAATATTCTCTTTTTGGCATCGATATCATAGATCGATTCATGTTAGCCGACCCCAAATTCTTTTGAGATAAAGGCTTGGATGTTGTTGTTGTATCTCCCAAATATTAAAGGTCAAGCGTCATTTTAAAGACCTTGAAAGCAAATTTGTAATGGGCAGAGGGAGAATATTTTATTGATATTGATGAATAGAATTACTTCCAATAAATACGGTAAATACACAAAATAATCCATTAAATACACTGTTTTCAAAAAAATGTTCTCCAAAAGGGTAAAATTCAATACTTGCAAATGTCCCTACATTTCAAGTATAAGAATCCTTTCAATCAAAGGGCATCAAGAGTCCCATAGACATGTGGTGCACCATTTTAATATAATAAAAATGTCATTTTAATCGTAAAAAAAAATATAATAGAGAAAGTAAAAACATTGTGAAATTTCAAAATAAAAGTACTATGTTTTTCGCCCATTAATAGAAGTTAAGTGCCTTCATTACCCGACATTTAAATCATTCATTGACATTACCGGGCATTATTTTGGAAGTATTAATGACATAATTGACCGTATTTCTAAAAAATACTTCCTCCGTTCCTTATAACTTTGTCAACTTTCCTTTTTTGGTTGTCTCACTAACTTTGTCACTTTCCCCTTTAAGTAAAGAAATTGTGGTTCCAGTTAATTTTATTTTCTTTGCACAAACCTTAACCACACAGTTTTTTCTTTATTATTCCTCGTGCCGGTCAAACTTGGCAAAATTATTAGGGACAGAGGGAGTATGTCGTTAATTGCACATATGAGGTAAGAAAGAGGTAAGAAAGAGATATTACTCTGTATTCAAAAAGTTAAATCTATTTTTAAAGTGTGTTTGCAATTGCTTCTACTTTAAAATGACTTTAAGTGATTTTAAAAAAAAGTGTTTGGTTCTGTTTGAGAAAAAATTGATTTTGAGAAATAAAAGTTGGTAGTGTTTGGTATAATATGTGTGCTTTTTGTGTAATTGAAAAAGTAAAAAGCAGATTTTAGCTTATAGCTTTTAAGTATTTGATTTAAGCAAAAATTGTCACCTGAAGATACTCGTTCAGCTATTTTAAATCAAAAGCTGAAAAACATAATTTTTATTTTATTTTTTGTGGGACAATTTGTACAGGATAAATAGTGCAACCATATATGGAAAAGTCACTCAATGTTGTTTTGAACATGGCTGTGCTAAATAAACATAGAAATTCCTCTTCCGGTAGGTAAAGAAGTCAATTGACCGTTCTAAATCTGTTGGCTTGGCGTTCAAATTTAGAGCTGTTTTGTCCATTAGTAGGGTCAAACAGTAATAACACTGCGCATATGGGCTGCAAATGAATGGGACGAGAGTCACGGGGCTCTGGACTGGTACGGCCCACAATTTAATATTTTAGATGATGATGGGCCATCAGCCCGCGTGTCGTAGTACCTCCAAAGCTCATTAATCACTAGTGAGCTACTCCCAAACCCAAGTAATAAATTATAGACTTGAAAATTAATAAATATATAAAGGGTGAATTCCCTAAATATGAGTAAAAAAGTTTTGAAATTTCAAAATAGGAGTATCATGTTTTTTATTTCTTAAATAGGAGTAAATTTTTGCCAAATTTGACACTACTTGGCTTTAAAACATGACATTTTTTCCAAAGTTGACAGATTACTCCTATTTAGGCAATAAAAAACATGATACTTATATTTTGGAATTTCAAGCTCCTATTTAGAGCAATTTCTGATTTATATAAATGAATGAATTGTATCTATGTTTATTCAACCATTCTTGATGTACACACCCTTGTACACATCTTATACACACCATGTTTGTGAAACTTTTTTTTTGTCTGTGAATCCGGTTCACAGACAATATTTTGTTTGTGCAAACATTGTCTGTGAATCGATGTTCACAGACAAAAAAAAAAAGCTTTCACAGACATAGGTGTGTACAAAAGTGTGTATAAGAGTGTGTACAAACGTCATTTTTTATGTTTATTAGCAACAAAAAAACAACACGTCTTAGGTAGGCTCTTTGCCACGTTTGGATCTTTTTAGTAATGTCATAATAAATTAATAAAGTAGTAATAGTTCTTTGTATGTACTCCTTGGAACGTGTATGATTCTAATATTAATACTAGGGCCCGGAAGTAGTTCATATTATTAAGTTTCTAGAATTATTTAAAACAATTTAAGTTTTACAATTTCTTATAGTTTCATGTAAGACAAATTTTGAAATATAAACATAGCACATGCAAATTCAAACACCACCACACTATATATAAAGTGGGTCTTTTTAAAAATAATTATTTATTACGAGTTATAAAATGAAATCATTTTTCAATTTTTGAACGAAAACTGCTTCTCTGTTTACGTCCGTAAATTTAATATTGAAAATTCAATACTATTGATTATAAAAATATTGGTACTACATCATACGTAATATATATCATTTTATCTATAAAAAATTACACTAGTCACTTCCCGAGACAGACCCTTAACCAACACCTAGAATCCGATGTGTCGCATTAATGATTGAAAATGATTTATCCCTTTAACTTTTAATTAACACTAAGTACAAATTTTTAATCAATGCACTTTATCAAACAAATAATGGTAAAATATTTTTAATTCTATTAATTCTTACTACTAACGTTCTTTGTTTTTTATTAACACTTTCATTTAAGAAGTTCCAGTGGTGAAAGAATTTATTAAGAGTTTGAGCATTCACACTTTAAGGAGTTCGAATGTTGATAGAGTTAAGTATAATAATGACTCAAAATTTAATTTACAATTGAGAAACTATCCTAAAAATTCTATCAAAACGCCAAACAAAATTCAAATATTTAAAAAGTTGATACTGAAGACGCAGTATAATGCTGTAGAACTACTACCAACATGAAACATTAGAATAATTAAAGAAAAGGAAAATGTCATTTGTATGGTATCACATCTAACTCAATCGTCTACAAGTTGTTGAAAATTTATACTATACTCCGTTCCATAAAAGTTCCATAAAAGTTGAAACAGTTTGACTTTCACGTTTGCCAACGCACAACTTTGAGTGTAATTATATTTATTTACATATTAGCAAACATTAAAAAAAGTTAATATATTGAAAATTTACATTAATACAAATTTATTAATATTTTTATCATATATATTATTAAACAATCGTAGTCAAAGTAAGGTGTGTGAATAATGAGGAAACTCCAATGTTGCAACTTTTATGGAACGGAGGAAATACTAAAGAAAATGAAAATGTCATTTGTTTGTAGACACTTTTTCATGCACATTTTATTGGTATCACATGTAACCTAATTGTATCGAGAGATGAAAAAAAAACTATTTGGTCGGTGTTGGGGACCTCGGAGATGGGTATCATCCTTTTTTCTAATTGTATCAAGACGATTCATCTAAAAGTTGTCAAAAAAATTAATAAACAGAAAATGTATGGAATGTGTGTAAAAAAGTGTACCCACTACACTTTCTAAGAAAGTGCACAGGCTACACTTTATAAGAAAGTAGTAACATGTCTTGAACAAAATTATAAGAAAAGCATGCATATACCTGACAAAGGGAGATGAAAAGATGGTCATGAAACCTTGAAGTGCCAACCCCAATATGGGGCTTCTCATCACCAAAGACTTGTTTGAGAGCACTATGCTTCACAAGAAGGCCAGAATCTGCAGAAACAAAGCCACTAAAGAAATTACCCTTTCCAATGACTTGCAGTTCTGTCCCCTTTACCTCATCAACCCCTAAATATTCCCTCAGAAACCCTTCCACCATCACTCTTGGAACACTCGTGAACACCATCTTTCTCCCACATGAAGCCAAAACCTCATACACATGCATGTTTAGGTTTTCAAGGTAAAACTTTGGCAGAACCGCCCTGCCCACCATCTCCATGTCCTTCACCCTCAGACCACAGAATGTTATGAAGATCATCACCCTGACCTTCACCTCATAATCCAACAGCCCCAGAAAAGGGGATGACAGGAGCAGAATGAAGGCTCTGAAAATGCTCCCACCTTCAAAAGCCACCAGCATGAAGAATGGGAACAAAGACTTGGTCCTCAAGAGGGTGCCCTGAATGTCACACACAAAAGACTTCTCAGAGTTGTTGTTATGGGTAAAGTTCCCATTTTTTGTGAGGCTGGGGTATAAAGAAGACTGGTTGGAGGTTTTTGAAGGTGGGTTTTTGTGGAAGAAGGAGGTGGTGGAGTTCTTGAGGTTTATTGCAGCTCTATAACATGAGTTTGCAAGAAGCCTGTACAGCAGCCACTCTGTAAGCCAGCTGAGAATCACCATTGGGAAAACCATACCACTTTTCATTCCAATATATATCTAGTTGCTTTGCTATATATGGGATCTAATTTGCTGCTCTCCTTCTAATGGGCTTGATGATCCAGCTCAGTATAGAAAATTAAAGACAGAGATAAGGGGAAAGACAGAAAGGGTATGGACTTTAATTGGGGAGGGGAATGGGGGGGGGGGGGGGCTCATCAAGATGAACTTAGGATTAAGGGAACAGCTGCAAGCAGTGGGTGGCTATTTATAGTGCTCTGTATCCAATAAAAAGAGATGGAAAAGAAGTTTTGAGAAGCGTACAAGTTACAACAGCAACGGTGGAAACTGGAAAAGTCATTAATGCAATTTCTTACTCCGCGTGTTGTTGAGCAATCTCGTTGTGGTTGATCATTCAAGTAGTGACTTTTCCAAACGGGAAAGTTTATTGGCTACCAAGTTGCACCTTGAAAGAGACTTAAATGTATACTAGTAAAGTAGTAATACTACTAGGGGGAAATAACTTCTAAATTATGTTTTCAAAATGGTCTCCAAGAACCAAATTCATATGACTACACAACGAAAAGGTTGTGTCAAACCAAAGACTATGTTTATGAAAGCACTCCAACTACTTGGTCACTCATGATTTCGTAATTGGTTATTTGACTCCATAAAGGCACTCCAAAGAGTAAATGGTCAAACCGAGAAATAATAGATAAAAGGATAAAATAATAAAGTAAAAAGATAGTGAAATTTAATTTAAAAAATTGTTCATATTTTTGGTAGGGGTGGGAGATACCCGAAATCCAGAAATCGATCTTGATCCGGCCCGAATGATGTTCCTAGTCCGGTTGTTTTTTAATAGGCCCGAATAAAAGAACACAATCCGAACCCGAAAATTCGGGATCATAAACGCGCCCTAAAATCTATAACCCGGTCCGAACCGATAAAAACTCGAAACAATTAGCTTTAATATAAAAGCAATTTAATTTAAAAATATAATTTATAAATAATTCCTAATATATGATTATAATCATAGTGGATGAAAAACTGACATAATAACTTTTAGTGACTACAAATATGTTCAATTTGTATACCGTAATGACCATGAAAAAATATTACTACCTCCGTCCCTTACAACTTTGTCAACTTTCCTTTTTTGGATGTCCCACTAACTTTGGCACTTTCCATTTTAAGTAAAGAATTTGTGGATATAATGAATTCTCTCTCCTCTGCACAAACCTCTATCACACAGTTTTTACTTTATTAATCTCCGTCCCGGTCAAACTTGACAAAGTTTTAAAGGACGGAGGAAGTAATAAGTACCTTTAGTCACATTCCTATCCATAAGTTTTAAGTAGTATTTCTTAATAGTTTTACAAAACCTATATTATTTATTTATATGGCACCTTAAACAACATATTAAGATAATTGTCTTTTGTGGATTTAAATTGTTTGTGATTTTAGAGACTAATATTTGTGTTATCATTTGCGGTTTGTATTTTTGATTAATTTTATTTGAAAATAGGTTTTAAAATATAAAGGGACAATGTGATGATTTGACGTTCGAGCTTTAATCAGCCCAACCCAAACCTGGACCAATCGAACCTGGGTTACTAAAACCTCAGCTCGAACCGAATATAATGGGCTTTCTTACGGTCCCTAATTTTCATAATATGAGACCTTACGGGTAGTTTTTGGGTTTAACGAAAACCCAACCTAGACCAGACCGATCTCACCCCTATATTTTGGGACAATTCAAATAATAAAGTTTATCCTAACATTGATCCAAAAGGTGGAATCTCCCACCCCAGGAGCCCCCCACCCCGACACGACGGGATGGTAGGGAGATTAGTCACGATGACTAAGTCAGCAGAATGGCAGTAGGCCCATACACCCTTGCGCTTCAGAGGTCCAGCCTTATTTCAGTATATGTGACCTCCACCCGGTCGCTGTGGGGATTCGAACCTTGGTACATTGATCCAAATCTCCCACCACTCCATCAACTGAGCTACCCGTGCGGGTAAAGTTTATCCTAACAATTACCATATACGGAGTATATATTTCTAATACTCCCTCGGTCTCAGAATTATCTTCTTCTCTTTCACTTTTGACAAAGAATTTATGGTTCACAACATATCTTACACATTCTTACACATTCTCTCTCATGTGCTCCATATACGGAGTATATATTTCTAATACTCCCTCGGTCTCAGAATTATCTTCTTCTCTCATTTTTTCCCACTACATTTTATTATGTTTCTTTTTATTTTCCTTTTCCCACTTTTTTCTTCTTGTTACTTTTTCTTATGTCTTTCCTTCTTTCTTCTTATTATCTTAATGAAGAAAGGACAAAAACCTATTGATGGTGGAATTAAGATAACAAGAATAAAGAAAAGAAGAAAAAAGAAAAAAACATAAATAAAGTAACAAGAAGAAAAAAGGAGAAATAAAGTGTAAAAATGAAAATATAAAAAAGTAGAGTGAAAAAAGAAATAAAAAGAAGAGAGTGATTAAGAAGAAAAACATTAGAAGGGAAATGAAATAAAAATACGGAAAGGAAAAAAAATTAAATGATAAAAAGAACTATTTTGAAGGGAAATTTTACAAAAAAAAAAACTTTCCTAATAGTGTGAGAATTAGAATAATAAAAATGGAAAAAAATAAGAACAAAAGGGTAGAAAAAGCAATAAAAAGTGTCTAAAATAAAGAAAGAAAAAATTTGGAAAAATTCACACTAATAATTCCACCTATTTCCGGTCTTCCATTATTAATCCCTCTCATGCGTAATTCTAGATTAATACGTATTAAAAGGGTAACCTTCCACAAACACTCTATTAACCTGAAGAACCCATGTTGACCGGTAATTAAAGAATCATGTGATTATCCTCTCCCTCTTATCCCAAAATCAGAGACCAAGCCCAATCGAGCTCTTGCATCCCTAATTCCACGATGACCTGCGCAGAAGACGAATGAAGAGAACGAATAGCAAGGGAAGAGTAAGGCTAAATCTTCAACTTCTTGAGTACTGAACAATCATGAATTCAATGAGTGGTTCATTTTCTTGGACCTGCAACTCGAGTAGAGAGGTTGTGCGTACTTGCCATCACAAGATAGAGCTGAAATTGCGAACGGTAAAGAGCGGTCCAAACATTGGAAGAAAATTTTATGGCTGCTCGCTATGGCCTGTAAGTATCTCTGCTTTATAAACTTTTCATTAGTTTTCATTGGATGAAAATATTAGTTTTAAATAAAAACATTAGGGTTTATAATTTTGAATGCTCTGAATTATATCAAAATTATATGCACGCTATTATTCCTTTAAACATTAGGATTTATGCAAAACATTGAATTGTTTAGTTTTAATGATGACTCTTTCTGTCATAAGGCATTTTCACTTGAAGTAGTATTAAACATTTTGAGTAGAATACAGATTGTAATGACAATGATGACAATGATGTGCAATATGTCATTTTGATTGTAGAATACAGATTAACGTTTCTTTGAATGGTGTGAGGACAATGATGTGCAATATGATGTCCAAATAGTGAAAGATAAAGATCTACTAATTGAGCAGTTGTTGGCAGAGAAGAAGTTATTGGAAGAAAGAGTACACTAGTTGAAGATGAAGAACAAGAGGTTTGTTGTAGAAGTTGGTGATTCTCGAATGGTGGCTTCCAAAACAGCTAAAGGAGAAGCATATGTTGTTATGGTTATAATAGCATCTTGGATAGTTTTTGGGATTCTTTCTTATTTGAAGTAATGTACCATGTAATGTTAAAGTGATGTAATATTGGATCTTAGAATTATGGATGTTCACCTTCTGCTAAATTGATGTAATATTATTGGATCTTGTGATGAAATTACTTCTTATTTGAAGTAATGTACCCTCTGTGAAACTGATTTAATATTGGATCTTGTTTTGTAATGTGTATGATGAACTTCTCTTAAAGTTTTGCTATTCTGTTAATATCATTTGAGCATGGTTTAAAGTACACTCCAAAGTATTCTGAAAATTGAAAAGAACCATTTCAAAACTGAACCATACAATCCAAAGTCTTTGCAAAATTAACATAACCTCCAAAGTTAACAACAATACACATTCCAGTAACTTGAAAGATAACATTTGTTTCACCTGAACATAAGCTTCCATTAACTTAAAATACCATAACTTCATCATCATCACAAGTCAATTGAAAAGTTTAACAACAACAGAATTCTGAAATACAAGCACAACATCATCCAGTACATCAAAGGCAGATTAACAACATCCAAAATACATCCAAACTAAGAAATCCATTACACAACATAATTGACAGAGTTTTAACAAAAAGTCATTAGACATCATTCATGACACGACATACTTTCACAATGGTGCACTGCCATTGCTTGATGGAGCATATCCATCCCCTGAAACCAGTTTGGGACCTCCTACTTAACCAGGCGACTACAAAAAAGGCCAATGATTTTCATTTAGGAGCACAAAAATATAACAATTGAAAAGGGATAAGGACATTAAGTCTCACATTAAGAATGGTGTTTCCCTGACCATCAACGAACACATCAAATCCCTGAGGAACCTGCATCCCATTCATAAACACAATAAATATATCATTACTAAAATGCATTATGCATACCTGATTGCCTCTCCCTTTGGACCCCCCTCTTCCCCTACCTCTCATTATCAACCTCCCACCTCTCCCAATTTGTGAAGGCTGGGTAGTGACATTTGCATACTCAGTTTGACTGGCAGCCTCTGTAGAAGGTTGTGCATTCTTCCTAGGTCGCCCCCTTGATCTTTTAGGTTGATTTGAAACACTTGAGGTTGTACTTTTGTCTATGTCAGGGCATTTCCTTTTGTTGTGTTGAGTGGACTTACATATGCTGCAACACATTTGTAATCCATGCTTTGTTAGCTTACCAGGTTTCTTTGGATCTTCATGAGGGTCCTTTCTCCTATTTTTCCTTGGTCTTCCAGGCCCAATTTTGATAGGTGGAGGATCCAATTCAGCCTCTTTTCTTGGCCAGTGCCTTTCACCAGGGCACGGAGGGATACATCCACTATATATCTTCATGTAGGTCTCCTTCTTATAATACTTATCCACATAGTCTTCAGGGGCATGGTGAAGAAAGAACATGCAAGCTACAGAATGACAAAAATGGACTCCAGTCAATTCCCACTTCCTACATATGCAAGTCTTT